CAAGACTGGAGGGGGGCAGCTTTCAAATGTACCTCTCGCCTTCGCGCCGCGCAGATGCGCATTCAAAGGTTGCAACAGGTTCAGGGATGGTAGTGGGGTCGTTGTCAACATGGAGCTATCGCCTCCGCGCCGCCCACACTCGTGCTTCATACTACGATCGCATCCAACGTGGAAGGCGGGTCGTTTTCGAAATGACGCTCTCGTCCTCGCGCCGCGCACGTTCGTCTTGCAAGCTTGCAGCAGCTTCAGGGATGGGGGGCCGTTCTCGAAATGCTGCTCTCGCGTTAGCACTGACCATATTCGTCTTGCCAGGTTGCAACAGCTTCAGGGATGGAAGAGGGACCATTGTTCGCAATGTGGCTCTCGCATTCACGCAGCGCGCATCCTTTCGAATGTTTGCGGCGTTCTCAGTGATGAAATGGAGACCATTTGCAAAATAGCGTTTTCATTCGTGTGCAATGTTGCAGTAGCTTCAAGTTTGGAGGGCGGCTCGTTTTGAAGCGCTCGCCTTCGCGCCGTGCACCACTCACACAACAGCCTGCAGTTGCTTCAAAGAGTTGAGCGCAGGCTAGTTTCACATGGGGATCTCGCCTCAGCGTCGCGCGCATTCGGTTCTTGCTGAAACGATGAGCAAGATGGAGGACTCACCTTCTTCAAGATGGGGTGCGAGGCGGGACTTTATCCATATCCACGGCCTGGGAACCGACGTCCTGGTGCCCCTGCGGGCGGTGGATATGGATATATTTCGGCCCCCGGGGGCCCGAATATGCCCATATACACCGCCTGCCGAGGCTCCGAAAACTGACCCTCCGGGCGGTGGTCACGTATAAATTCCCGCCTCGGATGGGGGCTCCCGCTTGAGACGTCGCTGACTCTGCAAGCCCGAAGCTTCCACGCGTGTATCGCTGCACGGCTCCAGGGCGGCCCCCTTTCGACATGGAGCCGCCGCTCGGGACCTCCGCGCGAAGTCCATGACCTCACGCGCAAGCCTGTGCAACATGGAGGGCTGTCCCTCTTCAGGAGGGAGGTCTCGCTGGGCACATCGCTGCACCGTATGATCATACCGTGATTACGCTCGAGGAGGATGCAAGGCAATGAACTACCTTCAAAGCGGCGCCCCCTCCAGAACGGCAGGCCCGGACAGGAGGGCGGATTGCAACATCGCTGATGCATCTCTGGTTTGCTCTAGAACTCCCCCTCCTCCTCCTCCTCCTCCTCCTCCTCCTCCTCCGCCTCCTCCTCCTCCTCCTCCTCCTCCTCCTCCACGGCAGCCCGGAAGCGGGCCCCCGGAGGCCCAGGCCTGGGCAGAAGCTCGCCGCCATGGCGCCTCCCCGTGCGCATGCACACGAGTGTCGTCGCTCGGACGTCCACTTCCCGTGCATTTTGTCGGTTTCGTGCGTGCTTTTGTTTTGTTTGCTCGACGGTCCAGGATATGGTCCTCGATGGTTCTCGCCGCGAGAAAGTGCACACGTCCGAGCGATGCCAAGCGTCACGTGTGCCGAGGACCCCTCGAGGCCTCCTGCATGGGGTCGGAGGGTCCCGCCGCATCGCTGATGCATCGGCGAGTCGGGCTCCACATCGAGCCGCATCGCCAGTGTTATGGGCGATGCGACGCGATCCTCCGACCCCATCTGCTCGGCTCCGATCTGGGAGACCCAGAACCCCACCCTCGTGCCATGGAGTTGGCAACCTCGGGGTGCGACAGGGAGAAGTTATGCAATGATAAGGAGAGGAATGCAGGAGCAGGAGGAGGAGGACGAGGAGGAACCAAAAGGTAGAGGCAGAGAGAGCACAGAGTGGGCGTGTTAGAACGCTCGCCTGTTGTCCGGGAGGTGCTCGCCGTGCTCTTCTTCGAGGGCGCCGCCGCCCGCCCCGCGCGCCGCCCGCCCCGCGCGCCGTCCCTGGGGCCGCCCCTCTGAGCTTGCTCTCCGGCGCTCTCCTCGGCCACCACTGTCGGCCTCGAGTGGACAGGACACATCGGCCGCAGCGGGAGGGCGAGGGGGCGCGCCGCAGCTGTCGGTGGGGCCCACGTCGTAGGGCAACGCGACCTCTGGATTCGCCAAGGCTCGTGTGGATTGCCCTTGATCTACTTGCATGTACCCCGATCTACAGGCGGCCTCGATCGGACAGGACACGCGAGAGGGCACAAGAACCTTCCGAGGGCCACCTCGCCACAGGAGTGTCAGAAGGCACGTGTCGCCAGGCACAGGACACAAGGGTGCCCTTGATCTGGCAGGGCCGACCTACTAATCTGGGCCGACTGTAAGACGGCCAGGACGGCCTCCGAGACGGCTTCCAGGACAGCACGGACGACACCAGAACGGCTCGGTGCGGCCCAAGGCGGCCTCAGGACGGCGCACGAGGCCCCCAAGACGGCCCACAAAAGAGGCCCCCCGAGATGGCTCCGAGAGGCCCTCCAGGAGAGCCCGAGGAGGCATTGAATTCCCATTGGTTTTCGTAGGATTGGGGGTTCCTCGCGTCTTTGGCTTCGTGACCGCCT